ACCCTTTAAGCTCTTTGTATCTGAATGCCAAGGACATGCTGCTGGGGTACTCACCCAATCACATGGCAACCGCCTACGTCCAGTGGGCTACTATTCCTGTAGGCTGGATGCGGTGGCAAGAGGAGGCCCCTCAGGTCTGTGACCTGTCTTTGCCGCACAGGCCCTGCTTGACAAAACTTCTGATCTGGTCCTGGGCCACTACCTTATGCTGCTTGCACCCCATGAGATTGCCGCCATACTCAATCAAGTCCAGCCGAAGCACCTGTCCACCGCCAGACAGTCAAGGCTTTAGTGTTCTCTCCTGTTGCCGGATAACATCACCTTGATACTCTGCCAGACACTAAATCCTGCCACCCTCCTCCCACTTCCCAAGGGGTGAAGAGCCTGATCTGACCCATGACTGCTTTGAACTGATGAAAATGGAAACCACACACCTCCCTACTGTGAGTGAAACGCCCCTGAAGAATCCAGACCTTACAATTTTTGTTGATGGCTCCAGATTTGCCGACGGAGGAGGCAGATACCATACAAGATACGCTGTTACCGCCAAAGCCACAGTCCTACAGGCTGAATCTTTACCACCGACGATGTCTGCACAAGAGGCAGAGCTACAAGCGCTCACCACTGCATGTAAACTGGCTTAAGACAAAAGAGCCAACATCCACACAGATTCAAGATATGCCTTAGGGGTCGCTCACGACTTTGGAGTCTTTTGGAAGGCCAGGGGATTCCTGACAGCGGCAATCAGGCCAGTAAAGCATAGCGCAGCCATCAAGGACTTGATGGATGCCCTACTCCTTCCCAAGCATGTGTCAGGGATCTCCTCGATCCCCGCCGCGATTGTCCCGGCGCAGGCGCAGTGCACCGCCCTGTGCAGAGACACGGGCACTAGGTCCGGGCCGGCCGGGGCGTTCGAGTTCGCGCATGCACAGTAGAAGCCACGGCCGCCCGCTGGGCACCAATGGCAGCGCAGGGCGGGATATTTAAAAATGGCCCTGAGCTGTCATTCAGTGCCTTCTGGTCTTCCCTGCATCCTGTGAACCTGTACCTTGTAAGTTTTGACCCGGATTGTACCTGACCTTGCTGCTTTCTCCTATTCTGACCCTTGCTTTGCCTGACCTCTCTCCTGAATGCCCCTGATTGGATTTGACCTGCTGTTGCTGACCTGGCGTGTGACCCGACCATTCTATGCCCGCTGCCTTGTACCTTGCCATCCTCTGTTACCGACCCGGCCCGTCTGACCTTGCTCATCCATCCATCCCTTGCAGTGGGGTCTTCTGACCTCCTCACATCAGACTCTTCCCCGTGGGAGCCCTTGGCGCATACGACTACCACTGACGGACGCACCCAGTAGCCACGACCTGGTCTCGGGGGGCTCCAAGTCCATCCCCACCATCGGGGCCCTGGTGAACAAGCACCCTGGGACTTAGATTCCGTGCGCTGGGGACGCCTATTCAGTGGAGTGCTAGTGGTACCGCCAGGCGGTCCCTTACGGAACCAGAAGGCCATGACTGAGTCTAGAGGAGGGCCCTCGCCGCTTGAGGAGATCTGCAGGCACCTGTCTAATTTGACACAAGCCGTTTTGGCCCTGCAGGATAGATGTCAGCAGATTGAAACCCAATTCCAGACCTGCACTATATCCGTTCCTGCCCCACAGGCCGCGGTCCCCGCACCCCCAGCCGTAGCAGCCCCTGTGCCGGTTTCTGGGGCATCCGCCTGGATGCTATAGCTTCACCCCTCTTCCCAGTCATTCTGGGGCTCCCATGGTTACGGGCCCATAACCCCCAGATTGACTGGGAGACCGGAGTAATCTCGTTCCCTTCCCCATACTATCGGGTATACTGCCGCACTTCGGGCCCGGGGGTCCCCCAAATCCTCCTGTGCTCTGAGGGGGAAGCTGAATTAAAACAAGTAATCCCTGCAGCCTACCATGAGTTTCTAGATGTGTTCAGCAAACGGGGAGCCGATACTCTACCCCCCCCACCGCCCTTCTGACTGTCCCGTTGACCTGTTACCCGGTTCAGAAATTCCTTTTGGGCGAATCTTCCCCCTTTCAGAGCTCGAATTGGGGGCCCTAAAGGAATATATCGAGGACAGCCTCCAGAAGGGGTTCATCCGCCCCTCCACTTCACCGGCGGGGGCGGGAATTTTCTTTGTTGAAAAGAAAGACAAAAACCTTAAGGCCGTGTATCGATTACAGGGAATTGAACAGGGTCACGATAAAGAACCGTTACCCACTGCCGTTAGTACCGGAGTTGTTCCAAAGTTTAAAAACAGCAGTGGTTTTTACAAAGCTGGATTTGAGGGGGGCGTACAACTTGATTCGCATAAGGGAGGGGGACGAGTGGAAGACGGCCTTCTGCACCCGCTTCGGCCATTTTGAATATTTGGTCATGCCGTTCGGGTTGTGTAATGCTCCGGCCACGTTTCAACACTTTGTGAATGATATTTTTAGGGACTTTCTGGATGTCTTTGTTATCGTTTATTTAGACGACATTCTGATTTTCTCCCCTTCTTTGGGGGAACACAGAATACATGTAGCAAAGGTATTGGGGCGATTGCGGCAGCATGGGTTGTACGCAAGGCAGAGAAATGTTGTTTTGAACAATCCAGCATTGCCTTCTTGGGCCTGATTATCTCCACCGTGGGGGTCGCGATGGATCCCCAGAAAGTCGCTGCAATACTGGATTGGCCTGAACCCACGGACAGGAAAGGCGTCCAATGATTTATCGGTTTTGCAAATTTTTACCGGAAGTTCATCAAGAACTTCTCGGGTCTGGTCTCCCCCATTACTCAGCTAACCAAGCTGGGAACCCGGTTCAGATGGACACCAGAGGCGCAGGAAGCTTTTGAAGCCTTGAAGAAGCTGTTCACCTCGGCACCCATTTTGGGTCACCCAGACGCCGCCCTGCCCTATATCTTGGAAGTAGATGCATCGGAGAATGCGGTAGGTTCCATCCTCTCCCTGCGGAAAGGCACCAAGGAACTGCTCCATCCTGTAGCATTCTTCTCACGGAAGCTTACCCCAGCGGAGAAGAATTATGATATCGGTGATCGAGAGCTACTGGCGATCAAAACGGTGTTAGAGGAATGGAGGTACCTGCTGGAAGGTGCGGTGCACCCCATCTTAATATTTACTGACCACAAAAACTTGGAATATCTGAGAACCGCCAAGCGTCTACGCCCGCGACAGGCAAGATGGGCACTATTCTTTTCAAGATTCAACTTCCACATTACGTACCGGCCTGGATCAAAGAACACTAAGCCAGATGCGTTATCACGTATGTACGAGGACGCCAAGGAGATCCCAGTACCCGACACCATCCTGTCCTCGGGTAACTTCTTGGCCCTTCAGTCGGACCTTCGTTCCAAGCAAATGGAGGCATCCACAACCATCTCTACCCCCAGGCGGAGGGCCGCTCCAGAACAACGGGGGACTCCTATGGAGGGAAGATCGAATTGTGGTGCCGGAGGAAGCCCGAACCCTGGTCTTGGGGCATTGCCATGACCACCCGATGGCGGGGCACTTTGGCCCAGAAAAGACCCTGGAACTTCTCCGACGCTCATTCTGGTGGCCAGACATGGCTAAAGATTGTAAGGGCTATGTAAGGTCCTGTATCACCTGCCAGAAGAACAAGCCAGCAAGAAACAAAGTTTGGGGTCTGCTGCGACCCTTACCGATTCCTGAACGGCCTTGGCAAAAGATCTCGTTAGATTTTATAGTCGAGCTTCCGCCATCACTTGACCACACGGCAATCCTGGTGGTCGTGGACCGCTTGTCCAAGATGGCCCACTTCATCCCGTTGAAGAAAACCCCCTCGGCGGCCGAGACTGCGCGAGTCTTCATTCGTGAGGTAGTAAGGCTGCATGGGGTCCCCGAAGACATTGTCTCAGACCGGGGGGTCCAGTTCACGTCAAGATTTTGGAGAGCACTGTGCAAAGCCCTGGACATCAAATTGTCTCTCTCCTCTGCGTTCCACCCTCAAACTAACGGTCAAACCGAAAGGACCAATCAGACCCTAGAGCAATACTTAAGATGCTACACTTCGTTTACTCAAGATGACTGGATGCCACTTCTACCCCTAGCGGAATTTGATTACAACAACGCCTGCCACTCAGCGACGGGACAGTCCTTGTTCTTTGCCAACTATGGCTTTCACCCAGTCTTCCTCCCGGATTTGGTCTCGGAATGCCCAGTACCAGCAACGCAAGATGTGGTAACGTTTTTCTCCGCGAACAATAAGAAGCTTCAAGAGGCCATCAGTCGGGCCCAGGGAGACTACAGGAAGGCATTCAACAGGAAACGGAGGGGAGATCTGGTGTTGCGGCCTGGGGAGAAGGTTTGGCTAGCGACGTCCAATTTAAAGATGCTTTGCCCATCAAAGAAATTGGGACCCAAATTTATAGGCCCCTTCTGCATTAAACGGATGGTTAACGAAGTAGCCTACGAACTCGTCCTTCCTGACACGCTCAAGATCCACCCAGTCTTCCATGTGTCCCTGCTGAAGCCAGTAGTCCCAGATGCCTTCCCTGACCGGGAATCTAGACCCCCGGAAGCCATAACGGTCGAGGGAGAAGAAGAATTTGAGGTAGAAACAATCCTGAAGTGTCGAAGGAGGGGAGGCCAGACCCAATTCCTTATCAAATGGAAGGGCTATGGCCCTGAGGACAATTCTTGGGAGCCAGCCCATAATGTCCATGCACCCAGACTTGTCCGGAGGTTTTTTCGCGATCACCCGTGGTGGAGAGATCGGGTGGGCATCCGGAGGTTGCCCGTGGGGGGGGGCAATGTCAGGGATCTCCTCAATCCCCACCACGATGGTCCCGGCGCAGGCGCAGTGCACCGCCCTGTGCAGGGACACGGGCACTAGGTCCGGGCCGGCCGCGGCGTTCGAGTTCGCGCATGCGCAGTAGAAGCCGCGGCCGCCCGCTGGTCACCAATGGCAGCGCAGGGCGGGATATTTAAATGGCCCTGAGCTGTCATTTAGTGCCTTCTGGTCTTCCCTGCATCCTGTGAACCTGTACCTTGTAAGTTTTGACCCGGATTGTACCTGACCTTGCTGCTTTCTCCTATTCTGACCCTTGCTTTGCCTGACCTCTCTCCTGAATGCCCCTATTGGATTTGACCTGCTGTTTGCTGACCTGGCGTGTGACCCGACCATTCTATGCCCGCTGCCTTGTACCTTGCCGTCCTCTCTGTTACCGACCCGGCCCGTCTGACCTTGCTCATCCATCCATCCATCCCTTGCAGTGGGGTCTTCTGACCTCCTCACATCAGACTCTTCCCCGTGGGAGCCCTTGGCGCATACCACTACCACTGACGGACGCACCCAGTAGCCACGACCTGGTCTCGGGGGGCTCCAAGTCCATCCCCACCCATCAGGGGCCCTGGTGAACAAGCACCCTGGGACTTAGATTCCGTGCGCTGGGGACGCCTATTCAGTGGAGTGCTAGTGGTCCCGCCAGGCGGTCCCTTACAGCATGTGTCCATCTTGAAAGTAAAAGCACATGGCAGACTGAACTCAAAAGAGTCCTGAGGGAACCATTTGGCAGATATGGCGGCCAAACAAGCGGCCAGAGGACCGCGGGAAGTGGAAGGAGGGGTGGAGTCAGAAGAAAACCCACCACACCCAGCGTTGACCCCACACCCAGTACTGACTCTGCAAACTTTACCAGTGGACAGCAGTTATCTGAAGGAACTCCAGGAAACAGCAAGCCCAGAAGAGAAGGAAAGCTGGAAACGAAGGGGAGCAACTCTCAAAGATGGATTGTTTGAATGCAACAAGAAACCTTGTCTACCCAAAACCCTATACCCAGCTGTGGTACAGTGGGCACATGGAGCAGTCCACCTGTCCAAAACCCTTATGAACTCTCTCGTCAACAAGTACAGGGATCACTCCACTGACAAACAACTTTTGCAGATCATGTGCCATCTGTGCAAAGTGCAATCCAAGACGCACAGAGAAGACGCCACAGAAACACTTGGCAAAACCCTTGTATCCCTTCCAGAAGATACAAATCGACCATATCCAGATGCCCAAGAGTGGACAATTTGAGTGTGCTCTAGTGTTGGTGGACATGTTTTCCGGGTGGCCAGAAGCCTATGCTGTAACCAATTTGACTGAAAAAAACGACTGCCAAGGAACTACTCACTGAAGTGATTTGTAGATATGGAGTCCCAGAAGTGATAGAGAGTGATCAGGGCCCTTTCTTCACGGCCTCAGTAACCAAAGAAATATGGATGGCACTAGGGGTCACCTTAGCGTTCCACACCCCCTATCACCTTCAGAGTAGCGGGAAGGTAGAAAGAATGAATGGCACTCTGTAAGCTAGAATGCTGAAAGTGGCCCAAGAGACTGGTATGAATTGGCCGGACAGTCTGCTCATTGCCCTATTTAGCGTCAGATACACACCAAGGGGAGAACACTCCCTATCCCCTTATGAGATTTTGTTTGGTTCAGCCCCCAGCTTGGTTGTTATTTCCCACAGCAGTTACAATTGCAATCCAATGTACTGACTATGTCAGGGATCCCCTCGATCCCCGCCGCGATGGTCCCGGCGCAGGCGCAGTGCACCGCCCTGTGCAGGGACACGGGCACTAGGTCCGGGCCGGCCGCGGCGTTCGAGTGTGCGCATGCAGGGCGGGATATTTAAATGTCCCTGAGCTGTCATTCCAGTGCCTTCTGGTCTTACCTGTATCCTGTGATTCTGAACCTGTGCCTAAGTAAGTTATTGACCCGGATTGCTTTTGACCTGCCGATTTCTCCTGCCCAGACCTTTGCTTTGCCTGACCTCTCTTTCTGAATGCCCCTCATTAGTTCTGACCTACTGTTGCTGACCTGGCGTGTGACCTGACGATTCTCTGCCCGCTCCCTTGTACCATACCGTCCTCTCCGTTACCAACTCGGCCCGTCTGACTTCGCACTTGGTCAGCCATCCATCCCATCGGGGTTACCCGACCTCCTCACATCTGGCTCTCCCTGGTTGGAGCCCCTGGCGAACACCCCTACCACTGACAGGTGTGCTCAGTAGTGGCGACCTGGTCCCGGGGTACTCCAAGTCCATCCCCACCATCAGGGGCTCTGGTGAACAAGTACCCTGGGGCTTAGACTCCGCGCTCTGAGCACGCCTGACCAGTGGAGTGCTAGTGGTGCCGCTCGGCGGTCCCTCACAGTACCAGAAGGCCATGACTGAGCCTCGAGGAGGAGGACCCTCCCCGATGGAGGAGGTTTGCAGGCACCTGGCTACCCTGACGCAAGCAGTAAACGTGTTACAGGACAGATGTTTGCAGATTGAGAATTGGTTCCAGGCCTGCACCATATCTGCTCCTGTTTCACAAGCCCTGGCTCCTGCACCCCCGGTCGCAGCAGCCCATGAGCCGGCTCCCGGACCTTCCGCATCACTCCCTATGGCGGAACCCCGAGTACCATTACCCGAGCTCTTCCACGGGGATCGCACACAGCTTCCCGGTCATTCCGTGACTCCTGCCTGCTCTATTTCGAACTGCAACCACAGACTTTTTTGACGGAATCGGTGAAAGTGGGGTTTGTTATCTCCCTGTTGCAGGGTGAACCCCAAGACTGGGCCCACCGACTAGGGGGAAATAATGATCCCCATCTGGTTTCAGTTGACAACTTTTTTAATGCTATGGCCATCTTATACGATGATCCACAACGGGCAGCCTCAGCCGAGGCCACATTATATGCACTCCGACAAGGTCGGCGAGCGGCTGAGGAATACGCCTCTGACTTTAGGCGTTGGATGGGGGGACACTCACTGGAACGAGTTTGCGCTTTTGCACCAGTTCCGTATGGGCCTCTCAGAGGCTCTGAAAGATGAGCTCGCCCGGGTGGAGGTGCCTGAGACATTAGAGGACTGATTGCACTAAACCATTAAAATTGACGGTAGACTACGGGAGCGCAGATTGGAGAGGTCTGGTCAGGGTCGCGGAAATACCTGGGGGTCATTCCAAGGATCCAAACTACTAGGCCAAACATCCAGAACCTGCCGTCTGAGGATGCTCCCGAACCCATGCAGCTAGGCCTAGCACGGCCTAAGCTACCGCCAGAGGAACGCCAGCGCAGACGCTCCCAGAACCTGTGTCTCTACTGCGGTGAAGCTGGTCACATGGTACGTTCCTGCCCACAGAAACTGAGTAAGTTCACCTCATCTTCTTTATCTATTGGCAATATGAATCCGTCCCAATACTTAGTTGTGCCCCTCTCCTTTCAGCTTTCAGAAAGGACCGTGGAGGTGACGGCCATAGTTGATTCGGGGGCATGCAGCTGTTTTGTGGACATCAATTTTGCTCACCGGCAGGGTATCCCTCTCCATCCAAAGGAGAAAGTGTTTCACATCTTTTTGGCTGATGGCTCCCGGATAAAGTCAGGAGTGGTTAACCAGGAGACCCCTTCCATTGTTACTTCCATTGCCGGCCAACATCGGGAGCTCCTCCACCTGGATGCTATTGCATCACCCCTTTTCCCAGTCATTCTGGGGCTCCCATGGTTGCGGGCCCATAACCCCCAAATTGACTGGGAGACTGGGGTTGTCTCGTTCCCTTCCCCCATACTGTCGGGAACTGTGCCGAACTTCGGGACCGGAGGTCCCCCAGGTCCTCCTGTGCTCTGAAGGGGATGCCAGCCTAAAACAAGTGATTCCTGCAGCCTATCATGAGTTTCTCGATGTGTTCAGTGAACGGGGAGCAGATACTCTACCGCCCGTATGACTGTCCTATTGACCTGTTACCTGGTTCAGAAATTCCCTTTGGGCGAATTTTTCCCCTTTCTGAGCTGGAATTAGGGCCCCCTGAAGGACTATATTGAGGACAGCCTCCACTTCCCCAGCAGGTGCAGGAATCTTTTTTGTAGAAAAAAAAGGATAAGACTTTAAGGCCATGTATTGACTATCGGGAAACTGAATAGGGTCACAATCAAGAATCGTTACCCATTACCACTGGTACCGGAATTATTCCAGAGCTTAAAGGCTGCAGTAGTATTTACCAAGCTGGACTTAAGGGGAGCCTACAACTTGGTTCGCATAAGGGAGGGGGATGAGTGGAAAACGGCCTTCCGCACCCGTTTTGGCCATTTCGAATACCTGGTCATGCCTTTCAGGTTGTGCAATGCACCGGCCACCTTCCAGCACTTTGTAAACGACATCTTTAGGGACTTCCTGGATATCTTTGTCATCGTTTTACTTGTACTTAGACGACATTTTTGATTTTCTCATCCTCCTGGGGGAGCACAGGGTACATGTAGCAAAGGTGTTGGGGCGGTTGCGGCAGCATGGGTTGTACGCTAAAGCAGAGAAATGTTGCTTTGAACAGGCTAGCATTACATTTCTGGGCCTGATTATCTCCACGCGGGGGGTCGCAATGGACCCTCAGAAAGTCTCTGCGATCCTAGATTGGCCTGAACCCACGGACAGGAAAAGCGTCCAACGATTCATTGGGTTCGCAAACTTCTACCGGAAGTTCATCAAGAACTTCTCGGGTGTCTGGTCTCCCCCATCACTCAGTTAACCAAGCTTGGGACACGATTCAGATGGACACCAGAGGCACAGGAAGCTTTTGAGGCATTAAAGAAATTATTCACCTCGGCACCCATTCTGGGTCACCCTGACGCCTCACTACCCTACATCTTAGAAGTCGATGCATCAGAGAACGCGGTTGGCTCCATTCTTTCCCAGCGAAAGGGCGCCAAGGAATTACTTCACCCAGTAGCATTTTTCTCACGGAAACTTACCCCTGCGGAGAAGAATTATGACATCGGCGATCGAGAATTACTGGCTATCAAGACCGCATTAGAGGAATGGAGGTACCTGCTGGAAGGTGCCTCACACCCCATCCTGATATTCACAGACCACAAGAACCTGGAATATCTGAGGGCCGCCAAACGTTTGCGCCCCCGACAAGCGAGAATGTTCATTGTTTTTCTCGAGGTTCCATTTCCATATCACATACAGGCCGGGATCAAAAAACACAAAGCCAGACGCATTGTCGCGCATGTACGAGGACGCCAAGGAGATCCCAGTACCGGACACTATTCTGCCTGCAGGAAAAACTTCTTGGCCCTCCAGACGAACCTTCGCTCGGAGATAATGAGAGCATCCAAAGCCATGTCTACCCCGGATGGGGCGCCCCTCCAGAACAAGGGGGGACTCCTATGGAGGGAGGACCGGATTGTGGTGCCGGAGGAAGCCCGAACCCTAGTCTTGGGACATTGCCACGACCACCCGATGGCAGGACATTTTGGCCCGGTCAAGACCCTGGAACTTCTCCGACGTTCCTTCTGGTGGCCAGACATGGCCAAGGATTGTAAGAGCTACGTGGGCTCCTGTGTCATCTGCCAGCGGAACAAGCCTTCAAGGAATAAGGCGTGGGGTCTGCTACGTCCATTACCCATCCCTGAACGGGCCTTGGCAGAAGATCTCTATGGACTTCATAGTCAAGCTTCCACCTTCACTTGACCACACAGCAATTCTCGTGGTCGTGGACCGTTTATCCAAGATGGCCCATTTTATACCATTACGGAAGACTCCATCGGCAGCCGAGACGGCGCAAGTTTTTATTCGAGAGGTTGTAAGATTGCATGGGGTCCCTGAAGACATCGTCTCGGACCGAGGGGTGCAATTTACCTCGAGATTTTGGAGGGCATTGTGCAAAGCCCTGGATATCAAACTATCCCTTTCCTCGGCTTTTCACCCTCAGACCAATGGACAGACCGAAAGGACCAATCAGACCCTGGAGCAATACTTGCGATGCTACACATCTTTTACTCAGGACGATTGGGTACCACTTCTCCCTCTGGCGGAATTCGCGTATAACAACGCTTGCCATTCAGCAACAGGGCAGTCCCCGTTCTTCTCCAACTATGGGTTTCACCCTGTCTTCCTCCCGGATTTGGTCCCGGAGTGCCCTATTCCAGCAACACAGGATGCACTAACCTTTTTCTCTTCAAACAATAAGAAACTACAGGAAGCCATCAGTCAGGCCCAAGAAGATTACAAAAGGGCTTTTAATAGGAATCGAAGAGGAGATCTGGTGTTGCGGCCCGGAGAGAAAGTTTGGCTGGCTACCTCTAACTTGAAGATGCTCTGCCCTTCAAAAAAGTTGGGACCTAAATTTATAGGCCCTTTTTGCATTAAGCGGATGGTCAATGAAGTGGCCTATGAACTTGTTCTCCCTGAGACACTCAAGATCCACCCAGTCTTCCACGTGTCCCTGCTGAAGCCGGTAGTCCCTGATGCCTTCCCGGAACGGGAATCCAGGCCCCCGGAAGCCGTAACAGTCGAAGAGGAAGAAGACTTTGAGGTGGAATCAATCCTGAAGTGCCGACGAAAGGGGGGCCAGACCCAATTTCTTATCAAGTGGAAGGGCTACGGCCCTGAGGACAATTCTTGGGAACCAGCCCATAATGTCCATGCACCCAGACTTGTCTGGAGGTTTCTTTGTGACCACCCGTGGTGGAGAGATCGGGTGGGCATCCGGAGGTTGCCGTAAGGGGGGGGGGCAATGTCAGGGATCCCCTCGATCCCCGCCGCAATGGTCCCGGCGCAGGCGCAGTGCACCGCCCTGTGCAGGGACACGGGCACTAGGTCCGGGCCGGCCGCGGCGTTCGAGTTCGCGCATGCGCAGTAGAAGGCGTGCCCGCTGGGCACCAATGGCAGCGCAGGGCAGGATATTTAAATGTCCCTGAGCTGTCATTCCAGTGCCTTCTGGTCTTACCTGTATCCTGTGATTCTGAACGTGTGCCTAAGTAAGTTATTGACCCGGATTGCTTTTGACCTGCTGATTTCTCCTGCCCAGACCTTTGCTTTGCCTGACCTCTCTTTCTGAATGCCCCTCATTAGTTCTGACCTACTGTTGCTGACCTGGCGTGTGACCCGACGATTCTCTGCCCGCTCCCTTGTACCATACCGTCCTCTCCGTTACCAACTCGGCCTGTCTGACTTCGCACTTGGTCAGCCATCCATCCCATCGGGGTTACCCGACCTCCTCACATCTGGCTCTCCCTGGTTGGAGCCCCTGGCGAACACCCCTACCACAGACAGGTGTGCTCAGTAGTGGCGACCTGGTCCCGGGGTACTCCAAGTCCATCCCCACCATCAGGGGCTCTGGTGAACAAGTACCCTGGGGCTTAGACTCCGCGCTCTGGGCACGCCTGACCAGTGGAGTGCTAGTGGTGCCGCTCGGTCGTCCCTCACAGACTAACTATGTAAACGCATTATCACAAGAATTAACCCGAATACATGCCCAGTAGTTTTCTTCTATTCCAGATCCTGAATGAAGTACAGGAACTCACAATTTACTACCCGGAGATTGGGTGCTGGTAAAGAAATTTGTGAGAAAACATTCCCTTGAGCCAATATATGATGGTCCATTCCAAGTCTTGTTGACCACGGCCACATCTGCGAAGTTGGCCAGGAAGAATACCTGGATACACGCCTCCCACTGCAAGAAAGTCCCAACCCCTGAGGACAAGGCGTCTGTTAGGAATCTAGGAGTGACCAGAAAGGTGTGGACTGACACAGGGAAACGCAGGTTTCAGGTACAGTATAATACAGTTTATTATTAGCCAGCCAGATATATATATATATAAACGCACAGTGAGCAAACCAACCTTCCACTAATCTTAGGAGGTGCAGGAACACAGGCGTAGTCAGGGCTGGAGAGGTGGAACGGTCAGGCCGGCCGTAGGGTTCTGTAATGACCGTTTGGTGGTACCTCTAGCGGTCCTCAGGACAGGATTCCCCAGTGCGCGGAGTCTAAGTCCCAGTCTGCTATTCACCAGGGCCCCTGATGGTGGGGATGGACTTGGAGCAGACAGGAACCAGGTCGCGGCCCCTGAGTACACCTGCTAGTGGTAGAGGGATCCGCCAGAGGTATGTGCAGGTAGAAAGCCTGATGTGAAGAGGCAGAAGGTGTGAGCAGGGACGGCTTGATCCGTGCAGCATGGATGGATGGCAGAGTAGTTAGCGTGGTCAGACGGGCTGGGTTCAGTAACTCACGGGCAGCGCGGTACAGGGGATCAGGCAGAAGGATGGTCAGACAAGCCAGGGGTTCAACAGGAGACGGTCAGCAGAGATCAGGATCAAGCAGGGTCAGCAACGAAGCAGGAACACAAGATACCAGGTACAGGGGCTCATGGGAAAACATACACCAAGGCCCAGACTGCAGGTCTGGCCATCCCTTAAATACACCTTCTGCAATCAGCCCCAGGTTTGGCTGATTACAGAAGTGAGCTTCTGGCTGCTGAGAGCACCCGCTGGTGAGCCCTGGTACTGCAGCCCACACGGCAGGTGAGTCCCACCACCAGTGCTGAGTCCATTCCTGACAGTACCCCCCCCCCTCAAGGAGCGGCCTCAGGACGCTCCAAACAGTCCTTAGTGTTCAAAATGTTCCACCGCCCGGGTCAGGTAACTTGGCTGAATATCCTACTGCCGGAGTAAACTGGGTGGCTGGGTTTCCTGCTGGTAGACTTCTCTTTGTGTAGGAGAACCCAGGAAGGCAGGTCACTGGGCACAGGATTTCCAGGGGCAGGCTGGGAATCAGTTATTGGCCAGTTTAGCTGGACATCAGGGGCTGGCATGTCGGGCTGTGCAGCGGGCAGAGGCACGTCAGCGGGCACCGAGTCATCTGGCACGTCAGCGGGCACCGAGCCATCTAGCAGAACCGCGGGCACAGAGTCACCGGGCATATCAGCGGGCACCGAGCCATCTAGCAGAACCGCGGGTACCAGATCACCAAGCTCGACAGCGGGCACCAAGTCAACTGGCACGACAGCGGGCACCGAGTCACCGGGCATGTCAGTGGGTACCGAGCCATCTAGCAGAACCATGGGTACCGGGTCACCAAGCTCGACAGCGGGCACCGAGTCAACTGGCACGACAGCGGGCACCGAGTCAACTGGCACGACAGCGGGCACCGAGTCAACTGGCGCGACAGCGGGCACCGAGTCATCAGGCATCGGGTCATGTGGCTCAACAGCGGGCATTGGGTCCTCAGGCATCAGGTCATCTGGCTCGACAGCGGGCACCGAGTCAACTGGCACGACAGCGGGCACCGAGTCATCAAGTCATCCGGCTCAACAGCGGGCACCGAGTCAACTGGCACGACAGTTGGCACCGAGTCAACTGGTACGACAGAGGGCACCAAGTCAACTGGCACAACAGCGGGCACCGAATCATCAGGCATCGAGTCAACTGGTACGACAGCGGGCACCAAGTCAACTGGCACGACAGCGGGCACCGAATCATCAGGCATCAAGTCATCTGGCTCAACAGCGGGCACTGAGTCAACTGGCACCGAGTCAACTGGCACGACAGCGGGCACCGAGTCACCGGGCATCAAGTCATCCGGCTCAACAGCGGGCACCGAGTCAACTGGCATCAAGTCATCCGGCTCAACAGCGGGCACCGAGTCAACTGGCACGACAGTGGGCACCGAGTCAACTGGCACCGAGTCAACTGGTACGACAGTGGGCACCAAGTCAACTGGCACGACAGCGGGCACTGAATCATCAGGCATCAAGTCATCTGGCACGACAGCGGGCACAGAGTCAACTGGCACGGCAGCGGGCACAGAGTCAACTGGCACGACAACGGGCACAGAGTCAACTGGCACGACAACGGGCACAGAGTCAACTGGCATCGGGTCATGTGGCTCAACAGCGGGCACTGGGTCCTCAGGCATCAGGTCATCTGGCTCGACAGCGGGCACCAAGTCAACAGTCTGAACCACGGAAGGCAGGTTCTCAGACGGCAGGCTGACCGGTTTGGATACTGGCAGGATGGTACAGCGAGTGGGAGCAGGGGACTGACATGTGGTAGATAGCAGGGTATACTGGGCTGTCACTTGGGGTGCTGTCGGGAATGCAGGAAGAGAGCTTTGAACAGAGGAATGATGAGAAGCAGGACTGGTTTGTTGCAAGCTGACTGAGGCTAGCTGTAACAAGTCTGACCATGTCTGCAGTATGGGTTGGACAACGCTCAGTTTACACAAGGCCTGTCTGATCAAAGATTGCACTGCGTTTATACACTTCTTTAGCACATGTGGTGAACATGCTGAATAATGCTCCAAGAAGCAATCCGGATCATCTTCCAACAACCATACCAGTGATATTATTTGACTCACCCTGAATAAAGGAAGGAATTCATCCCTGCTTTCAGGGGTACTAGATGAAGCCAACTCAACACAAGCCTGAATCAATGGTTGCACCTCAGAGAGCTCTAGCTCCTGACCTACTAGGGAATGAGCGACCCGTATGCACTCTAGCAGCTGATCCCGGGTATACTCCCGCAGAGTCTGATAGGCATATTCTCTGTCATCAAAGACTAGCATAGACAAATATATAACCTCATCAGGATGCATCCTTCACAACAAGTCAAGATGGCTTCCCTGTGCAGCCACTTCTGGTCAGGAAAGGCCTTGGTGTGATGTCAGGAATCTAGGAGTGACCAGAAAGGTGTGGACTGACACAGGGAAACGCAGGTTTCAGGTACAGTATAATGCAGTTTATTATTAGCCACCCAGATATATATATAAACGTACAGTGAGCAAACCAACCTTCCACTAATCTTAGGAGGTGCAGGAACACAGGCGTAGTCAGGGCTGGAGAGGTGGAACGGTCAGGCTGGCTGTAGGGTTCTGTAATGACCGTTTGGTGGTACCTCTAGCGGTCCTCAGGACAGGATTCCCCAGTGCGCGGAGTCTAAGTCCCAGTCTGCTATTCACCAGGGCCCCTGATGGTGGGGATGGACTTGGAGCAGACAGGAACCAGGTCGCGGCCTCTGAGTACACCTGCTAGTGGTAGAGGGATCCGCCAGAGGTATGTGCAGGTAGAAAGCCTGATGTGAAGAGGCAGAAGGTGTGAGCAGGGACGGCTGGATCCGTGCAGGATGGATGGATGGCAGAGTAGTTAGCGTGGTCAGACGGGCTGGGTTCAGTAACTCACGGGCAGCGCGGTACAGGGGATCAGGCAGAAGGATGGTCAGGCAAGCCAGGGGTTCAACAGGAGACGGTCAGCAGAGATCAGGATCAAGCAGGGTCAGCAACGAAGCAGGAACACAAGATACCAGGTACAGGGGCTCATGGGAAAACATACACCAAGGCCCAGACTGCAGGTCTGGCCATCCCTTAAATACACCTTCTGCAATCAGCCCCAGGTTTGGCTGATTACTGAAGTGAGCTTCTGGCTGCTGAGAGCACCCGCTGATCAGCCCTGGTACTGCAGCCCACACGGCAGGTGAGTCCCACCACCAGTGCTGAGTCCATTCCTGACAGCGTCGTCTACACCATGACAACTATGTTGTATATCCTTTTTCTAATGAGTCTGATAAAGGCTCAACAGGTGGCTATCACTAAGATAGGTGACACCACTATATTTTGGTACAACTCATGTAGCCACTTTCACCTTTGATTTCTGTAGCATGGATCCTATGTGGTGCCATGACCGTGATCCATATGATCCTGACTGGCCACAACGAGCATGTTCCGATGGTAGTGACCGGGTATACATGTATGTCATGGATGATTATTGGGGACAGAATTGTGATTATTGGGGATCGGTAGGATGGAATACAGGAGCAGATTGGGGGTACAAACCACAGAGTGACTTAAATAAGAAAGATATTTCCACTCTGAAAGAGATTATTGCAATAGCAAATCCCACCTTTGAGGACACTATGGCAGCCGAAACTGGTTTCTCAGACACCAGCTTATGGCTTGAATGAGATATAGCGCAGCTAAACATAATAAGACCAATTGTTATGTCTGTGGCAGTGCTAGGCCACATTTAGGGACGGTCCCTCTGCAAATCCCTGAGGAAAGCGAACAATGTTTCCTCAGCCTGTTTACCAATACATCCACCAATCATTCTGCATGTGAAAAATGGAAGAAGGAATATCCCATAGTTACTAAAAACCCGAAGCCTGGAGAGGGCATTACTATCTACCCAGGGAACTACACCTGTTATACGAACTATAAGGGTAAAGGGAGGTTCCTGGGCAATTTTACAGAAGACTATTGTTCCACTTACAGCAGTAACTCAGGGGATAAGGTGCAGAATCAGACCCAGTCTCTTGGTGACATATACTGGATCTGCAGGGACCTAAAAATCAGGACAAGGTTAGAGGGAACCTGGACTGGTGAATGTGCCCCTGCAAAAACTATCACGCCTCTCCATATTTTGGCAGAAAAGACCCCTGACACACACGCTGACCCAACATCTAGGAGGAAGCGGGAAACTCCTCATGAAAGCATTGACCCCCATGTGTATATAGATGCCATTCGAGTCCCAAGGGGGGTGCCTAATGAGGTCAAAGCAGGTTTTGAGTCTCTAATCCCCATAATAACCGTGAACAAGAATGTAGACTGGATAAACTACATATATTACAACCAACAGAGATTTGTAAATTACACCAGGGACGCCCTCCAAGGAATTGCTGATCAGTTGGCCCCCACCTCCTATATGACATTCCAGAATAGAATGGCCCTGGACATTATTCTAGCATAGAAAGGGGATGTCTGTAAAATGATAGAAGGTACAGGGACGTGTTCTACTTACATTCCTGACAATACTGGCCCAAATGGTAGAGTTACATTAGCAATCAAGAAGGTAGAGAACCTGTCGGTGGAACTGAAAAAGAACTTAAGTATCACAGACCCATGGGACCAGTATTTTAGTTGGATGAGCGGGTGGCAGAAGGTCCTAGCACAGATAGGAGTAACTGTGCTGATTATTCTAGTTCTTCTTGCCTTGATAGTTTGCTGTGTCCTACCCTGTCTGAAGAAGTTGATGGGAAAAGATGTAGACAATAATATCCTGACCCTCCTGAATGAGGAATAAGGGGATTTTCTCGTGAAAGAAGAAGAAAAACCATACACTCCATTACAGTCCTTCCCTACCAACTACCTTAGCACTTCCACATAGGAAGCGTAGGGACAGCATCTGACCTTCTTATGTGCAGAGTCTGTGGCAAGGGGGGTGATGGACTAGCCATCACACGTCTAACGTGCAGCACAAAAGAGTTCCAAGGCACATCAGAACAGATGAGTCAGGTTCCATGGTTTTATAGGGACAGAGAAAATAATCATTTTAAGGGGGGACTGTGATGGAATTAAGTAAAATGACCAGTTTTGTAATATATGTATTTATGTGTTGTATGTATATCCCTTTTCTACTGCTGAGATAGTATTCCTTGCTCAAAATGGCCACAGATACACTGAGGAACAGAAGTATTTGAACACCCTGCGATTTTGCAAGTTCTCCCACTTAGAAATCATGGAGGGGTCTGAAATTCACATTGTAGATGCATTCCCACTCTGAGAGACAGAATTAAAAAAAAAAAATCAGATAATCACACTGTATGATTTTTAAAGAATTTATTTGTCTTACTGAACATAAGTATTTGAACGCCTAAGAAACAGCAAGAATTCTGGCTCTCAAAGACCTGTTACTGTGCCTTTAAAAAGTCCACCTCTACTCCACTCATTAATCTAACTTAGTAGCACCTGTCTGAGCTCTTTAAAGACACCTGTCCACCCCACAGTCAGTCAGACGCCAACTACTACCATAGGCAAGACCAAAGAGCTGTCAAAAAACACCAGAGACAAAATTGTGGACCTCCACAAGGCTGGAAAGGGCTACGGGGCAATTGCCAAGCAGCTTGGTGAAAATAGATCAACTGTTGGAGCAATTGTTTGAAAATGGAAGAGGCTAAAGACGACTGTCAGTCTCCCTCAGACTGGGGCTCCATGCAAGATCTCACCTCGTGGGGTATCACTGATGATAAGAAAGGTGAGGAATCAGCCCAGAACTACAAAGGAGGAGCTGGTCAATGACATGAAGAGAGCTGGGACCACAGTTTCAAAGGTCACTGTCGGTAGAACACTACGCCGTCATGGTTTCAAATCATGCATTGCACGGAAGGTTCCCCCTGCTCAAGTCATCACATGTCCAGGCCCGTCTGAAGTTTGCCAATGACCATCTGGATGATCCAGAGGAGGCATGGGAGAAAGTCATGTGGTCAGATGAGACCAAAGTAGAACTTTTTGGTCTAAACTTCACTCGTCGTGCTTGGAGGAAAAAGGATGAGTTGCATCCCAAGAACACCATCCCTACTGTGAAGCATGGGGGTGGTAACATCATGCTTTGGGGGTGCTTTTCTGCAAAGGGGACAGGGCGACTGCACTGTATTAAGGAGAGGATGAATGGGGCCAT